CTTGGAGATTCGTCCATAGGGTATAATGGGGAATCAATGAAATATCTATAACTTTTTTGCCTGTTGTCTGATTTGAATGAAAGTTGCAGGGGTGGTAGCCCCAGTGGACCTCTGAAGCAGCTCTGAAGCTTTTCCAAAGCAGTTTGGAAGGTCTGAACCACTTCAGAAAGCCTAAAGAAGCCAGTGCTTCGATCTGGACATGCTGCTTCAGACGCTGGTGGGTGCAGGGCAGGTGGGCCCTGGCACAAAAAGGATAAATTGGTAACTTCCTGCCACGCACTCCGCCCCAATGTGCCATGAGGGCTGGGTCATATCCCTGCTGCCCTCCCCGCTTACCCTCCGTCACCCTCCATCCTTCAAAAGTGAACCAAAACTCCTTAAGTGTCCCTTCAGGCAAAATAATTGCCCATTCCTGGCCTAGGCAGACCGAAGTGGTACTCCTTCCCTGCTTCATTGGTAGGGGTGAGAGGTTAGGAGGAGTTTTCCAGGAATAGGTTGGGGCCTATTTGTTCAGGCTGTGTGACGAGCACGGATCCTGCTTCTCTGTGTTTAAAAAATAAAATTCCTAATTTATGGATTAAGAAAAGTATCCCAAAATCTACATTTTCCTGTGATCAAAATGAAAGACCACTGTGTATCTCTCTATATATACATATTAGTGGTGTTTTATTTTAATCTCAGGAAAATGTGGATTTTGGGTTACATTTTTTTTAATCCGAAAATTGGGGATGATTTGATCAGAGAAAACCAGGATCCCTAGTGATGAGAGGAGGGTGGGAGGATGGAGGGGCTGGGGCTGGCTGGGGCAGCAGGAGTCTCTGCAGGCACAGGTGCTGTGAATCACTCAGCAAGGACAATGCTCAGCATTGCCTGCCAGCCATTCAAGAGGCAAGGAGACCCCTGGCCCAGCTCCCTGCGCCCTTTTACATGATGTGTGTTGTTTAGATGCGTGTTATGAAAAGGCACCAAAAATTGCTGTTTCACTAGGTTAGCTGCGTGTGAAAATGCATGTTGATTTTTTTTTTTAATTGTGGTAGGTTTCAATTTATCGTGGCAAGTTAGATTACCTCCAACACGTTTTAGTTTTACCGTGGCTAACTGTTCCACCAGGTTTAATTTTATCATGATACTTTTGTCACCTGCAGTCTTGCACACGGCTGAAATCACCATTTCGCCCATTCTGACATGATTTGTCCACCAGGTGCCACTTGGATTCCCTGGGAAATCCAGGTCATTTTCAATTTGGTTGCTAGCTTCCTGGTGTAATGCATGCCTTTCCACAGCATGGGGAATGGATCAAAATTGTTCTGCCTACAGATCAGGCAGATCATTTCCTTGAGGACTGAATCAAGTTAATTATTTTTTTTATTTTTTTTTTTTACTGAAACCATTTTCTGTTAGTAAATGTACTGTACTCACAGCTTCAGTAATCTGAAGCTAGCCCTAGCTCGGGCAATAACCTGCAACTTCTCCCGACTTTCCCTGAGGTCTTTCTACCATGCATTGTATGTTTTGAACAACCCAGGGTTCCCACGGTGCTCCCACAAGTGTCTTAGAGGTCCTTGTTACTGTCGCCCATCAAGCAAGTAGGCCGTGACAGTACTGGCCCTGCACACATTCACATATCTAAGACTAACGGGCCTATAGTTTCCCAGGTCCTCCTTCTTCCCTTTTTTGAAAATGGGGACCACATTGGCCCTTTTCCAGTCCTCTGGTACCTGGCCAGAGCACCATGAGTGCTCATAAAGCCATGCCAGGGGTCCTGCAATGACCTCTGCTAATTCCTTCAGCACTCTGGGGTGGAGATCATCAAGACCTGCTGATTTGAACACATCTAGTCCCACAAGAAGTTCCCTGACTAGGTCCTCACTGACCCTGGGCCTGGCTGCCCCTCCCCTGGGACCATCACGGATCCCAGTAGGGGGGGGATGACCTGGTCCCTGCTCAGAAAAATGGAGGCAAAGAAATTGTTAAAGAGATTATCTGTCTTTTGAAGAAGATGTATTTAGGAGTCGTGAGAATATAGTGACTTTGTAGAAATACTTAATGGCAAGAATCACCAGATCTGGTCACATGAAAGCAGCTCTGACTGGTGGGCACACATTGTTATGCTGACCTGGGTAGATCAGCAGTGGCTGGAGATGTTCTGCATGAGCAGGGACACCTTCTACCACATAGTTAGTATGCTGTCACTGCATGTTGAGCACCAGACTAATGTCATGCGGAAACCAATTGCCCCAGAAAAGTGTGTTGCCATGGCTGTTATGAAACTGGCCACCCCAGCAAGCCGGTGCCATGGATAAATCAGTTTGGCGTGGCTCCTGCACAGCAGGGGTGGCAATAAGAGAGGTCAGCGTGCTGCTTCAGGAGCTGGCAGTAAACAAATAAATCTGCCTCAGTTACCCTGTGGACGTGGTGGAAGGATTCAAGGAGAGGGGCTTCCCAAACTGCGTGGGAGCACTGGACAGCACACACATTCCCATCGGGTCACCGTGCCAGAACAACTGGTCATTTGTCAACAGAAAGGGATTTCCTTCAATCATTCTCTAAGCTGTAGTGGATCACCATGGAAGACTGACTAACATTTACAGAGGATGGGCAGGAAGCAACCACGATGCACATGTCTTTCGAAACTCACCACTGCCTGGGATGGTGAAGAAGCGCCAATATGCCCCAGGAATGGAGGAGTTTGTCATCTGGGGTGTCTCAGTGCCACCCCTCATAATTGCTGACACAGCTTACCCACTCCTGCACTGGCGCATGAAACCAGATGGGAAGTGATGGCCCCACCAAAGCAGACCTTCAACTATCACCTAAGCAAATGCCTCATGACTGTTGAATGTGTCTTGGGGTGCTGGGAAGCCTGTTGGAGGCCACTGAACTACAGGCTGAAGGTAGAGCCAGAGACCATCCCTGTGTTCATAGTGGCAGTCTGGATGCTGCACTATATTTGTCAAACACGGGGCGAAATTTTCATTGAGTCTTGGGCCCTAGTTTTGGGGGAAATGATAGCAGCTGCCAGATCTAGATGGAGCCAAGCAGGGCAAGGAGGTGGGTTAGACATTCATCTGTGGTGAGAAATTGCCTGGTGGCACACATAATGGCTACTCAGGTGGGCAAATGTGCTCTGTAACACCATTAGGCTTCATGCTTTTGTGTACATGCACGGTTTTTTAAAATCATGTCATATTTCATATAACTTTGAAACTCAATAAATTGTTTCTGATAAATGGTTTGGATCCCATTGATAGCAGTCTGGAGGTTGCCATGTTAGTGGTTTCGCTTGGCGGGGTGGGGGTGATCAGGGATCGAAAAGGAGAAAGACCTCCTCAATGCAGGATGGAGGGGTGCTTGGGTGATGTGACTGTGGGACATGGGGGAAGAGCTTGGGCTGCTCAGTTAGGCACCTGAAGGAAAAAGAAATTTTAGCAAATGTCCTTGGTGTGGGGAAGGGCCTGAAGATCAGGCTGGAGCAGTGGTGGGTGGAAGGTGGGACTTGGGCACACGGGCGGGCGGGGGGAACTGCAGGGATTGAAACACACACAGGCACTGCATCAAAAATTACTCGGCTATCTCTCTAGCCTGCCCAAGCATCAAACCAGGGATTCATATGTAAAAGGTATTTCCTACAAAGAAAAAAAAGTGTAGGTTGTCACAGTGCGGGCAAGTGGAGGAAGTTAGTAGTGGCATCAGATTTCAAGCCATGATTTAGAAAAAGTCATTTGATAAGCGCCACAATAGTTTGGACACGGAGGCCAGGGAAGGGTTACGGTCATTGGTGTGATAAGGAAGTCAGGTTGTTTGGACAGGAGGACCAGACCACACCATGGTTTGGGGAATAGAGAAGGGGTTAATGCTGTATCCAGGTGTGCCTCCAACCAAAAGGCCAGTAATCAAAGCAAGGGATTGGAGTCAAGTGACCTGCAGGAGACTGGACCTGACATACACGTAAATAGCGTAACTGTGACAATGCTGATAGGACAATGGCACAGTCAGATGTACACATCTCCCCCGAAACACATCAGGCCGTGACCCTGGACTCTGCTGCATAACATGGCTTCCTCCACTCCCGGGGCCTCAGCAAGGCAGACAAGACGAGGCTCTTCAATGCCCTTGGCAGATTGGAGCAGACAACTAGGATGCTGCAAGAGAAGTATCCTGCTGCTCAACGCAGCGTATGAACGGATGAATCTCTTAATGGACCTCCGTAACAGCTTTTCATTCTCCAGGCATAAAATGCGTGAGGACAACGATGCCCAGCTATGGGGATACACAGGCATGTCTGACTTGGCACGATCCTGAAAAAAGGACTTTGCGTGCGCACCACCAGCTGGCTGCTGTGGCTGGCTGTCGAGGACAGAGTGAGCTGTCAAAGGACAAAGTTAAAACTTAGCCAGTTTGCAATTTAACTCTCCGAGGATGCATTGATGACTCTGTATGGAGAAAAAAAAATCTTTGCTCAATCAAGAGAGCCTGGCCATTGCTTTGTCTCCCTTTTGGATGGTGGGGTTGCTTGGAAATGGGCCCAGCTTAGAAGGCAGGCCCGTGACGTACAGTCCCTCAGTCAGTGTGGCAGGAAAAAATGTGTTACGCCTGTGGGGGAAGGGGATATTTGGGGTACGCTGAGGTAGCAAACCTGCTAAGCAAGGATGGCGGTGAGCCAAAGACAGCTGTCTGAAGTGTTTCCATAGTTTCCCCTTGTGTCCCCATGGTTGCAAAGGTGATGATTCCCTGAGGCAAAGCTGGCACCCCTGCGTGTCGTTATGTTAATGAGGAAGGTAATCACCATTCCCATGTCAGAGATGAGTGCTAAAAAGGACCATGACCCGGCTTGGACAGACAATTTAAAAAAAAAACAAAACCAAAAAAACTGCAAGCTGGCTGTAATAAAATTGCTGCCGTGCCTGAACACTGACCAAGCCAGTACATTTCTCAGGGAGAGCACCTGAACATGCACTGCTGAACGGCAGAAAATCTGTGCCAGCGAGAGAACGCCACACATGGGCGACGGGGTCCAAGCCCCCGACATCCCGACGGCTGGACGTGGGGACGTATACTGGCCTCTGTGCCAGGGCAGTACTTATGGGCTGCAACCAGACGCTAACCGGGCTCACCCCATGTCCCCAAAACTGACAAAGCCAGTACCTGTCTAGGGGAGAGCACCCGAAAATCCATTGCTGAACAGCAGGAAGTTGAGATGGTGGGAGGAGTCTAACCCCCACCCCCAAATTAACCAATCATAAACTACATTCCTAAACTGCCCCCTGCTGTAATTTAGTAGTAGGTCAGGAGGGTAAAATGGTTATGAGGTGTTATGAGGTTCCCTCTAGTGTTTTCCACTAATAACAGCACATTAACCAATTATGCGTGCTAAACGCATTCGGTGCATAATAGTAACCCTGCTCTTTCTCGGTTTTTGCAGGTGCCGATGAGCTACGGCTGGAGAACGGAGGCAGCCCCTGTGCTGGGAGAGTGGAGATTAAACACCAGGATGAGTGGGGGACAGTGTGTGATGACATGTGGGACATGAGAGATGCTGCGGTTGTTTGTAGGCAGCTGGGATGTGGATCTGCTGTCAGTGCCCCTATACTGGCTCATTTTGGAGCAGGGTCTGGAAGGATTTGGATGGATGATACTGCCTGTCGTGGTGCTGAGTCTGCTCTCTCAGACTGTAGCCACCGGGCATGGGGTGAGAATAACTGCGGTCATACTGAGGATGCCAGTGTCATCTGTTCAGGTAAGAAATCAGCAAACTCATCTTTACGTCAAATCTTTGAGAGGGAAGGGCTGGGTCCTGAACAAGTTACAAACATTAATGTCATGTGAATATGATGTGACTGGGAATTTATGCCTAAACCCCAAAATTGTGCATCATGCTATGCCATATATGCACGACTAGATGTGTAGCGCATGGGATCAGGTAAAGAATTCCTCAGATCCCAATTGCATGACTGCTCAGTTTTGCACCTGGGGATTAGGTGTCTTTACACGTGGTCTGGAGGTGGGGCGGGTGCTTTAATTAGAGCACCTCTTGGGAGCTTCCCTAACTAAAGTCCCTTCAGCATCTCATGTATTCACTGTCCCTCACTTCAAAATAGTGGTGGAGGGGCTTTAAATAAAGCTCATTTGACAAGCTTTAGGTCAATCGCCTCCCCGGCCATTTTGAAGAGCAGGGGCACTGAATACATGGATGCTGAGCCTTCGGGAGCATGCTAATTGGCACGCCCCAGCAGACTGATTAATCGCATCTGCTCTGATGTGCTGTAATTACAGCGGTCAGGGCAGATGTCCTGCAGCACAACTACAGGCACTCTGAAATGTATCCCTAAGCATGGAGGACTTGGGTGGGGGAAGGGCTGCTCCATGTCCAATACCCAAGATCTGGCACAGGGCAGCTGAATCCCAGCCTCCTGTTCCTGCCCAATTCTGACAACCAGCTGACTGTTATCATCTGTCTGGGGACAGCACATTGTCTGGGACATGCCACACATTCAATTTAGGGCTGGATGCAAACCAGTCACAAAGATGTGTCACTTGTGGCTTCTTGGCGATATCCTGATATTCCCTGAACACATGGCATGCTTCACTTTATCATGTGATTAATGTGTTCATTGCAAAAGAAATGTAAAGTTTACCAGGGGCCTTATTTTTGTAAATCCTAAGGGCTGATTCTTTTAAGGGTATTACTTTACCTAAAAGTGCAGAAAGGTTCCCAGTCACATTTTCCAAAATGCTTAGCCTTGAATTCCCAAGAGTTCTGGCAAATCCTGTTGGGTTCCTGCCGCCATCTTTGGATGCCTAACTGTCTTTGAAAACCCTACCTTATGTCACTTCTGAAAATGAGATATAGTTTCCAAAGACACCCGGGTGCTGTTGAAAGGAAGGAGGCAATCTGAATAGACAGCAAAAGGAAAAAGTATCACATCTGAGAGGAGAGGAACAGGGATCTTGGGGGCAGCTGGGACTGGAGATCGGGAGAGAAACTGGGATTAGAATATGAGACACTGGAAATTAAACAAGCAATTAATTCCCGTAAATTATGAGAGGCATACACAAGACTGGCTGGTCTGTGTGACTATGATTGGGGTATAAATGAGAGGATGCTAAGTGAAGGAGACTGAAATTGGGAGTCAGCATTGAAAGTTCAAATCTCTTTACAGCTCAGATGCTCTTTAAAAAATTGGCACGGGATTAGCTCTCTTCCACCCTTCTGGACTGCTTTTGGGATTGCAGGAGCAGAGATCTCAGGAGCTACTTCATTTAGGACACCTGAATGCAGGATCACTATGCCTGCTAATTTAAGATCTGTTATCCTTGGTGGACACTGGTTGACATTCTGCTGCGTTGCTGGTCAGTTGGAGAGATGTGTATTCCCCTCATGAGATAAGAAAGCTTTTTCTTGTGATCCATCCAGCTACAACACAGACATATTTATGGAGCACTTTTGCCTTCTTGGAATCATTATTATTGACTTTACCATCTACATGTAGTATGGGGGTGCACGGTGACCGACCAGTGTCTCACTACAGCTCTACAGATGGGAATTTGAACCCTATCCACGGTCAATCTTCACCCCAAGGTTACTCAAGGAGCTGGCGAGCATCATAGCCCAGCTTCTAGCACAGATCTTTGAAAACTCTTGGCGCTTGGGTGTAGTGCCCAAAGACTGGAAGAAGGCCAACATGGTGCCTATTTTCAAGAAAGGGAGGAAAGTGGATCCGGCTAACTATAGGCCCATTAGCCTGACTTCTATCCCGGGGAAGATCTTAGAAAAGTTTATTAAAGAGGCCATCCTTAATGGACTGGCCGACGCCAACATCTTAAGGGATAGCCAGCACGGGTTTGTTGCGGGTAGGTCTTGCTTGACCTATCTCATTTCCTTCTACGACCAGGTGACCTATCACCTGGACAAGGGAGAAGAGATTGATGTCATATATCTTGACTTCAAAAAAGCCTTTGATCTGGTTTCCCATGATCACCTCTTGGAGAAACTGGCCAATTGTCGCTTGGGTCCTCCATGATCCACTGGCTGGAAAATTGGCTCCGGGGTCGGACCCAGAGGGTAGTAATCGATGGAAGTCACTCATCGTGGTGTCCTGTGACCAGTGGGGTCCCCCAAGGCTCTGTCCTTGGACCCATACTGTTCAACATCTTCATTAATGATGTGGACACTGGAGTCAGAAGCGATCAGAACTGGCCAAGTTCGCCGATGACACCAAACTTTGGGGCAAAGCATCCACACCAGAAGACAGGCAGGTTATCCAGGCTGACCTGGACAGGCTCAGCAAGTGGGCAGACGAGAATCTGATGGTGTTCAACGCCGATAAATGCAAGGTTCTCCACCTTGGGAAAAAAAACCCGCAGCATCCTTATAGGCTCGGCAGTGCTATGTTGGCTAGCACTATGGAAGAAAGAGACTTGGGGGTCATCATTGACCACAAGATGAACATGAGCCTGCAATGCGATGCGGCGGCTAGTAAAGCGACCAAAACGCTGGCTTGCATCCATAGATGCTTCTCAAGCAAATCCCGGGACGTCATTCTCCCCCTGTACTCGGCCTTAGTGAGGCCGCAGCTGGAGTACTGTGTCCAGTTTTGGGCTCCACAATTCAAAAAGGATGTGGAGAAGCTTGAGAGAGTCCAGAGAAGAGCCACGCGCATGATCAGAGGTCAGGGAAGCAGACCCTACGATGACAGGCTGAGAGCCCTGGGGCTCTTTAGCCTGAAAAAGCGCAGGCTCAGGGGTGATCTGATGGCCACCTACAAGTTTATCAGGGGTGACCACCAGCATCTGGGGGAACGTTTGTTCACCAGAGCGCCCCAAGGGATGACGAGGTCGAATGGTCACAAACTACTTCAAGATCGTTTCAGGCTGGACATAAGGAAGAATTTCTTTACTGTCCGAGCCCCCAAGGTCTGGAACAGCCTGCCACCGGAGGTGGTTCAAGCACCCACATTGAACACCTTCAAAAGCAAACTGGATGCTTATCTTGCTGGGATCCTATGACCCCAGCTGACTTCCTGCCCTTTGGGCAGGGGGCTGGACTTGATGATCTTCCGAGGTCCCTTCCAGTCCTAATGTCTATGAAATCTATGAATCTATGAAGACACTGGCCACTGCCAGCTGACCAAGTGGTGATAGAAGCCAGGTCTTCAGGCTGCAGGAGTCATAGGCAGCCCTAATACTCCCTTCTGTGCTTCTTAGCACCACTGTCTCCCAGATAGCACTTAGGGATCATTAAAGCACAGGTAACCCTTAAATAGAACGTGAAATACGAATGCAGACAGCTCAGTGTCTTCAAATCAAAGAGTCTAACTCTATTAATACAATAAGTATTATCTTAGCAGTTTCCATATTCAGAGAGAGAGAAATATTCAGTACAATAATCTTACCGAATCCCAGATATTACTTTGCTCAACAGAAAAGACAGCCACTCAGTTCCTAGAAGCAAAGGACATGTCATGGGCTGGCACAGTCCGGACAAGTGTTGAAGTCTGAATTGATGATGATGACTAACTTTCTTGCTCCCCGCTTTTTATGACTTTCTTCAACTTCACTCCCTTGACTCTGCTTTCAGGTTGGTCTTTCTGCAGTCAGCATACCATTCATCTTTTATCCCATCAGCATATTCTTTTGTGTAACAGACCTATCACAAGCACACCTCTTAATTTTGCCTTTGTCCAGTGTCTTAGTTTGGGCATTGTCCATTGGTCTCCCTCATCACCTTTCATTAATATATCCAATACTTTCAGCCCCCTAATTCAGCTGCTTAGTGCCAAATTCAGTTAATTGGAGCTGATAAAAATGCCATTGCTTTGTTATGTTAAAAGAGCTCCATACAGTGATAAAAAAAGAAAAGATATAATATAATGAGCACCTATGAGCTCTACAAAAGCAACTCAAAGCCAGCTAATAAATAAATAAGAAGTTAATAAGGAAAAAACTTAAGCAATGATTAAATAAGGCTAAATCTAAACGAGATTATAAGCAGGTGCAACTTCAAAGCATTAAATGTAACAAGCTACCCTAACATGCTGTTGTCTACAGAAAGCAGCCACACAAGCTCCACAGAGCTACAGGGTTCAGATAGACATTTGACCTGACTTGGGGTGCTATCACTGGAAGGATTTCCCTTGTTACTTGTCATGAGGCTAATGCTGAGTCCCAGATCTAGTCAGCTTCAATCAGGAAGGCAGCTCAGTTCATCTCCTGAACAGGTATCTGCTGCAACAAGCCTAGAGCAGCACCCTGGTCCCAGCTGGGCTGAGTGAAGCAGTCAGGGCAGTCTGCCCCCTAAAGCCACAGACAACAGGCTTCACCTGCTCCTTCCCTTAAAAGCCAGGACCAGTCCATAATTACTTTGTCTGGGCATAGGCAAAAGATCTTGTTCTTTCCCCTCTGTGCTTTTCCTTTCTGAGTCTCTGGATTTGACTCCTGGCTCCATCTCCAGCCTCTGGTCCTAGTAGTACCTATGGCACCCCCTCATTCTCATTTTCTGCTCTTGATTCTGGTTCACACTTCAGTTCTGGCTTTTGGTTTATGATCCCATTTAACCCTTGGCTTAACTTATTTCCAGCTCGGGCTTCTGATTCTGGCCTGTTTTGACTTTGGCTACAGTTTGCAGTTCCAGGACTAGAGCCCCTATACCCCAAACTCCTGGGAGGCCTATCTAATTTGCACCTGTCATCCCTTATTAGCTTTCTACACCACAGAGTCTCTGATTTATATAGATTGCTACTATTCCCTTTCTTTATTATATATGGTCTTTTTATTTCTAATTACTCCAGTCACTTCACTGTGAATCAGGATGGGTGTCATGGAACATTTGTAGATGGTCTTGTACAATGACTAGGCGAGCAAGGGAAAATGGGGCCTGGGCTCTGGTCAAGAGGCAGAAGCCATATACCAAAGGGAGAGGGAGGTCCAGAAGCAGAGTCCAGGCTTAGGATCTGGGGGTCAGTTGCCAAGTACCAATCCACAGGGCCATCCACAGGGCAAAGTTGAAAACCAGACCCAAACCAAAGTTAGAAGCAAGAAACCAGAGCCATCAGGAAATCCAAATCAGAAGTCCAGAAAAAAGCTGAAAACAAGAGTTGGGAACTAGGAGGTGCAGGACTGCTAACTTGCCTGAAGATCCAGACCTGCAGCTGGTGCTGTGTTGATAGGTAATGCTCCCAGCAGCCAGTCAGGATGTTTGCTGCTCCTAAGCTGGGGCAGATTTCATTACTTAGGGTTTGCTGCAAGAGTTCCTGACAGCCCCTTGCCCAGGCTGGTCTGCCTCATCGACACCTTGACAATGAGCTGTTACCAAATGTCCTCTAGGGGAACAGTACCCAGCTCTTACCCAGCGGTACCCAGACCCTTTGAAAGCACCTGCCTTTGCTGATGTTCTAGGTCATGTTGAAGCCCGTCTGGTTGGAGGGAATGGGACCTGCGTAGGACGTGTGGAGATAAAATGGGGAGACACCTGGGGAAGCATCTGTGATTCCCACTTTGATCTCAAGGCTGCCAGTGTCCTCTGCAATCAGTTACAGTGCGGAACAGCTGTATCCACCCCAGGAGGAGCTCGCTTTGGAGAAGGACAAGGGCCCGTTTGGACTGAAGACTTCCAGTGTGTGGGGAATGAGTCTCATCTCTTTTATTGCCCCAGGACACCATATGTAGATCAATCATGTTCACATGGAAATTATGTTGGTGTCATATGCTCAAGTAAGTGTTCAACATCGTGTCTAAAACTCTATGGATGTGTGTTCTAGATGAGGGTACATCACTAAAAAGCTATAAAATCAAGTAACTTCCTTGTAGGAAAATGGGGGGGGGGTGTCACTAGGTGTGAGCTGCTTCCCAGACGTTTCTTGTTTGTACACAGTTACCTGATGATAAGCAAAAGGTAACTGGTGACAGTTCATACTTCTTCCACTGTGGTCTAAGATGTCTCTCATCAGGCTTCAAAATACCATAGGGTAATTGCTGGCTCATGGGCAGGCACAGTTTAGCAGCTGCTGCATTGCAAAAGCACATCTCCTTTTACAGGGAGCTACATGGTTCGCTTGCCCACATCATCACTCTGTAGGGAATAATGACTAGGATCAGCTCCTGGTAAATCTAAACAATCCAAGCCCAGGAGAAAGAAATCAACATCCCTCCAACTTCTTTATCTGCTTGGTGTAGAGTGGCACGTTGGCTATTTATCTCCTCTCTTTAATGCCCTCTCCCTTCTCCACAGGGTTCAGGTTCAGGTTGGTGAACGGCACCTCCGTGTGTTCAGGGAGAGTGGAGGTCCAGGTGCTCGGTGCCTGGGGCACCCTCTGTGCCTCGCGCTGGGATTTATCCGATGCCCACGTTCTCTGTCGTCAGCTCGACTGTGGAGTTGCTGTGTCTGCTCCAGGAGCAGGGCATTTTGGGAAAGGAACTGGCTCTGTCTGGGGTGACACATTTCACTGTAAGGGAACTGAACCTCACTTGGGGTTTTGCCCTGTTACTGCCCTGGGGGCCTCTCAGTGCTCGCATGACCATGATGCTGGTGTGATTTGCTCAGGTAAGTTCAGAAGCAATAGAGGGTGTTTCACCTGCCCCTTGGGGTGTTGGCCCTACAGGGAGGGGAACCTCTGGGCTGAGCAAGGGAGGGTGAGCTGGATCCTAACTCGAGAATTATTCAGGAAAATACTAGGCGTGTTGCTCTTGCCTAAATGAAAGTTTGGGTCCAAGTCACAGAAATTTCTCATGCAGGAATCTTCTGACCAACAGTTTCCAGTCCCCTCCCGTGCCTGAGGTAGTGCACTGCAGGAAGAGCTTGGATCATTGCTCCTTATATTCAGACACTTCCCCCAACCTAACCTAGTGCATTGGATTAGGGATCCATAGTATGAGACACTTGTGCTCTGGGTTGGTTGCTTCAGACCCTTCCCTACTCTTCCTCTTTAGAACTGGAGGTGTCAAGGTGGCCTTGGTGTCTTCAGGTGTTACAGGATAGGTCTTGATTGTAGCAGAGTGCTCTAGTACTGTAGGAACAGCCTAGTTACTGGTTCACATAATGCCCCATGGCAGAAGACGAGCCTTGCATCAGAGCAGCACGCCCAGTATCACTACTCTTCCCATATGTTATTCAGACTATTGCTCCTGGGTGGCACATTTCCACGTGCACTCAGAACTACAGCATATCGAGCTGGCTTGGAGTAGCCCCTGCTGGCAGGGGACCCGGGGTGGTGGTGAAGTCAGCCTGACGGCCCAGAACTGCACTGACCTAGAAACATGTGCTGTGGAGGGGCGAGCAAGCACTGAAGAACCCTCCTGGCCCTGCTAGCCCCATCAGCATCTCCACATGTGTTGCAGCACACTAAATAACATCACTGTATGTTAGTACTTATATTTACATTTACTAAACTATGGCAACATTTATTAGTTTCCTGCATACTTATGGGGCTGCACATGTAGATGCAGAGACTTTACTGTGTTCTTAATTAGGCAGCTCCATAGTAAACATCTCATGTAGATGCACCCACAGACTCCATCATGAGCAGTATCATCCCTAATGTATAACAGTTTATTCCATTCATTCCCCTCCTTTCTTGGCCCCAGGCCGATCTGAATCCCTCAGACTGCTGAAAGGAGAGAGCCGGTGTGATGGCAGAGTAGAGATTTCCCTCGGCGGTACATGGGGCAGAGTCCTGGATGATCAGTGGGACATGAAGGATGCCAGCGTGGTGTGCAGGCAGCTGCACTGCGGAGTTGCTGAGAGCACCTACAACCTGACAAAGCCTGAGCAAGGGACGGGCCCTGTGGGGCTTAGAGGTGTGCGATGTGCAGGACACGAGTCCAATCTGACACTCTGCAACACCAACCTGTCTGAGACCGAGCAGGCAGTAATCACTGAGGATGTTGGTGTTGTTTGTTCAGGTAACTTCCCCTGAAAATCCTACAGACGTGCTCTCCCTGTGCAGGAGGAATGTGACCATCCAGGGCCTGGATCCCCCCTGCCCGCTCCCCCCACACTGTGCCCCAGCCACCGCTTTGAAGCATGGAAGCACTGATGCGTGAGACTCTGTGGGCATTTTAATAAGAGCAGCTCTCAGACCCTCCCTAACTAAAGCGCCCATTAAGCTTTTGTCTTGAAAGACCTGGCCCCACACCCGTTTTAACTGACTGGCTTTCTTGCATATGTACTGACCACTGGCTGCTTTACCACTCGGTCCAGAAAGAGCACAGACCATCTGCAAATGCTTCCTCAGCCTGACAAAGGAGGCTTGTGCCGGAAGCTTGCTAAAAGGAATGTTTCTAAATATCTGGGTTGATCTAATTAAAGATACGGGATTTACACAAAGAAGCTTCCCTGCCCTTGTTCACCGGCTCTCTAGTGGCAGCTCACAACTGTATCTCCTAGTCGGGCCCCTGCTTACCAGCCCTTTCATGGCAAGTTGCAGCTATGTAGATTAGGGGCAGACAAAGGAGGTTTTCAGCCGTATAGTGTGACTCCTCCAATCTCACTAACACCCAACAGCACTTGAGAAGCTCAAAGTGCAACATGTAACAAGGCCCAATATGGCTGTCACAGCTCTTCTCCCTAATACTCTTTTCTCAGAAATTGTTCATCAATTCAAAAGATTATCATGGTGGTGTTGCTACTGGGGCTTGGGTTTTTTGTTTGTGTTTTCGGTTTGTTTTGTTCTTTTTTGGCGGGGGGGGGGAGTAACTTCCCTAGCTAATAATACATTCCCAGGACATATTTGGTAATTCTCACCTAAAAGCCATTTGAACGTACTCAGGTTTTCAAAGAGCAGAGGTTCATTAAATCCCTAACCCCTTGACTAATGCTAGCCAAATATATGTCACACCAAGACTACTATGCAAAGGAAGACATTCAGGAGTAGGTCCTTTCCTTACGTGACTGGAATCAATGGCTCCTCAGGAAGGTTTCCATTATTTCCTTAGTCTGTAGACTTCTTGCAATGTTTCTGTTATTCTCGTTCAAACAAATCTTGAAGTATTTTAGTGTTTCAGCCGATGAAGCATGAATATTGATTTGCAGGAAAGCTTTCAGTTACCATCACCCCTTCACCATTAAGAGCTGGGCTTTCTCCCTGCAGGAAGCAGGCAGCTCAGACTGGTAAATGCAACAGGTCGCTGTGCTGGGAGAGTGGAGATTTACTACCAGGGCACCTGGGGGACAGTGTGTGATGATTCCTGGGACTTGTCTGACTCCAACGTGGTTTGCAAACAGCTGGGATGTGGACATGCCATTCATGTAGCTGCCTCCGCTCATTATGGAGAAGGCTCAGGACAGATCTGGCTGGATGATGTGAACTGCTCTGGAAATGAATCCGAGCTCTGGGAGTGCCCTTCCAGGGGCTGGGGGCAGCACAACTGCAGGCATAAGGAGGATGCAGGAGTGCTGTGCTCAGGTTTGTTGTGTGACTGCTCTTGTGGGCCTGGGTACCAAGGATTTAAAGGAGGGGCTCACATTTTCAGGGAGAGCTGAGAATGCGAGGCACTCTCCCTGGCTGTCTCTGTCTGTTTCTTCCTTGCTTACATAGTGTCAGCAGTTTATCATTACAAGGATGGCCGTTTTCCAGCACATAGGGCCTTGTCATTTGAAAGATTTAGGACATGTTTTTTTAGATTATAATAGGCAATCTAGAAAGTGATGGATGGAGTTAAGAGCCAAAGTGGCTAAACAAAGGGCTTGAGCCTGAAATGCCAGACCCAGTGCAGTGGGGCTAAGGCAAAGGGACCAGCCAAGGCAGAGCAGCAGAAGCCAGGAATGCTGAGACTCCAATGGGCTGGGAGGGCCAATGAAGGGTGAGGACCGAAGTCAGTCTAACAGAATCTGAAGAGATCTGTCTGCAGGAGGCCATCGTGAACTTTGCTCTAAGGCTCTGGGGCCAGCCTCCCTTTCCAAACTTTACTAAGAAAATCAAGGCATGGCATATTGGAGAATAGAGGGAAGGTAACAATTGTCAAGGCCAGAGAAGAGGGGGGGCCATGGCTGCCCCTGGGGCAACCATCCTGTTACAGTGACCAGCAGCAGTCCTAGGCCAGAAGCTGCAGATTGTATTATATCAATGGAGCAATCAGATAACAGAAGAACACACACTACTTAATTTGACCTGTAGATACTCTTCCTGCAAAAGGTACTAACTTGGTTGTGATAAGAGTGTGCTTATCCCAAGTTGCCCTGCTTGAACAGGTGGACACCCTTGTTCTAAATACAGGTAAGACATCATAAGTGTCATCTACAAAAAGGGCCATTCGTGAATCTAGACATAACTGAGGAGGCTAATCTGAGGATTCACATGTTTAACTGTGGATGTGGCAAATAGTTCCAGGAGAAAGGACAGGATCTTGGCAATGCTGGGTCACATCTCTTTCCTTTTTGTTTCTCTGCCTAACATATCAAGGTCATCATACTATCTGCCTGGCCATATTTATACTGATACTCATCAGTTCCCACCTGAGAGTATTGGAGAAATTATTGGCCTTCCCTAGTGTTAGAGTGGGCAGTCAATGATGTCTCTAGCTCATCTATAACTGGTTGTAAATGTTGGGAAATGTGATGTTCATAGTTCGTCGTTCCTTGTCAGGTATTAGTAATGGCCCTGCAGTGCCTAAGAGAGTTGCTGACCTTTGGAGTCATCCTCTGTGGCACCTGTATACAGAAGCATACAGGAATATTAGTGATCTCCAGGGTTTTACTCTTCACATCTCTCTTCATGTCCTGTGCATTTCCTTCTAGAGTTCATGGACCTGAGGCTGGTGAATGGTGATGATTGTTCCGGTCGCCTGGAGGTTTTCTACAATGGGACATGGGGAAGTGTTTGCTCCAGTCCGATGGCTCAAGCCACTGTGGACATTGTATGCAAGCAGCTGGGCTGCGGGAATGGAGGAGAATTTGCAGAAGACTATTTATATGGACAAGGTTCTGGCCCCACGTGGCTGGACCGTGTTGAGTGCCGGCAGCAGCACAGCTCCCTGTGGGAGTGTCCATCAAAGGCATGGGACCCTCACTCATGTCATGACCGGGGAGAAGAGACCCACATTACTTGTGCTGGTAATTTTGAGACTTTTTGCACACAAACATGAATGCAAGCACACTTGGGCACAATCATGCATATACGCGCGCACACAGTCCATCACATGCTCAGTTAAAATGGTCTGATTTTGCTTTTCCTTTTCTTTTTAATGTATAAAATTTTATATTCCAACCAATGAGAGAAACATTTCTCATTGGCTATGAGAGGACTAAGAATATGCCATTGAAAAGAAACTTGAAAGTTGATTACAAATGAAGCTGGTTTTCTAAAGTGGAGTCACATAGGGAGATTCAAAAAAGTTTCCTTCCTTAGACTGTCATGTTTGCATCTGTGTGGGACTTAGACCTTTTGGCATGTGCAGCCCTACATATGACCAGGCTGTGAGGTTTCAGTGTATATTAACTTTCCATCTGTGTACACGTGCACATTTCTGTTCTGCACACACCTGTGAATATAAAGTGTGCATGTGCAGAGAAAGTGGATTTTGGATCAGAATTTCATTCGTCACACCAGCTCTTGTGACACTATGTCTTGCTGAGGATTCCCAGAATAATGGTTTAATTGGAGCTAAGGGGAAAGTGTCTGTGTGTGTAATTGCCCAAAGCTCTTTGTTAGGGATTACAGTTACTGCACATAGAGAGAGTTGCCCATAGAGCAATACAGCTAGCAGGGAGCTGCAGACAACTGCATAATAACCATTACAATCTGAATACAAGAACATTTTATCTATTATTTTAAGCAAGTTTCAATTCATATGGATAGAAGAGCGATATTAGGATTTACCCTACTGCTAAGTTCTACTCTTCCCTATGGTGCGTACACATATTAGCCAGTCCTTTCAGAGAATTTACCCTTTTTCTCCCTAGGGAAAAAAGAGAACACAACTCGGACACGGTATGTTGCATGTCCAAACTCCACAGACTGCACAGGTACCTCTACCTTTCCCTGCGTCTCCATTTTACATTTCTAAGGCAGTTCCCAGCTGTCTTAGTAACATGAGGTTGTTGTCTTTCTCAGACAAAGAGAAGCTCCGCATTGTGGGAACAGAGGACAGATGCTCGGGGAGAGTGGAGGTTTGGCACCACGGCTCCTGGGGAACGGTGTGTGATGATTCCTGGGACCTCGCAGATGCCAATGTTGTGTGCAAACAAGGGGGCTGTGGAGCTGCTGTGTCTGCCCTGGGCGAGGCTGCTTTCGGGGCGGGGACTGGCCCCATCTGGCTGGACAAGGTGAACTGCAAGGGAACGGAGTCGTCTCTGTGGGACTGTTGTGCCGAGCCCTGGGGAAACAGTAGATGCCAGCATAAGGAAGATGCTGCTGTGATCTGCACCAGTGAGTGACAGTTTTTTACATCCATGATGCAGGTTTGGAGGTGGGTGGGAAATGTGTTTCCTTGGCTAGATCCTCCTGACTGGCCACAGAATAGACCCCATGTCCTTGATGTAGCTGTCTTATGGCTGGGCTGGGAAAATGCCTTTGTGGGCCCAGTTTTCAGAGGCATCAGCCCATGTAGCACCAATCCCCACATATACATATATACATGCCCCATTGTGCTGCTGTGTTATTCATCCCTCCCAGTGCCAAAGGGAATGGACCTCTTCTTGATCACCAGTGTCTCCATGTAACCCAGCCTGTTCTTTACATACTGTGTGTTTGTGCATGGGCTGGCTGTGTGTGCCAGTTATAAGCAGTAAGATCTTTACAGTATCCTGGGGTCCTGCTACCTTTGCCTGTAGTTGGTGTTTGGCTGTTTCCAACACTTGGTTTTTGGTCTTGAGTTTTGCTTCCAGTCTGTATCAGCTCAGAGGTACTCGCACATTTGTTGCTGTCTTCTTAGAAGTAGACTCTGTTCTTGAGGATAGCCCTGGATTTGTGGCTTTAAAGACACTACCCTCTGGAATAGATGAGCTGAAAGTATCTGACTCCAGCTCTGCAGCAGACCTCACAGGTTCGCCATCCGCATTTCCCAGAAGGAGGCACAGTGTAGATGTGGTGTGCAGGTGAGGTGTGCAGACACACAGGCTATGTCTACACTATTTCCTAATTGTTCCTCAGAGGGCTGCTGAGAAGGGGACCCTAGCCATCAGCTCCCTGTCAGCTTGCATCAAATCCAGAAATGAAGCAGTGATAGCCCATTGCCCCACCTCACAGTCCTCTTCACTGGGTCTCCACATACAAGATTTTCATTTTAACTCTCGGAGGTGATATTCTCCTGGTAACAAACCTGTCATCTCTGTCTTACTCCAGACTTCAACTCTTCTTCTCTCTTTCTTTGTAGATGGGACAGAGACCACTGCATCCCCACAGAAAACAGGTAAAAAAGGCCCACATCCCAGTTGGGTTACATTTCACTGGTACTGAATTCCCCGGGGGATAACCTGTAACCTCCAGCCTGAGGGTATAAAAAGATGTGGCCATCTGACGTGGATCACCTGTGGTGGGATATGTCCTTTCACAGATGACTTAACTGAATGAAACACAAATCTACCATTGTCAGGCATCAGTCAGGGGCCTTGTCTCCTGTGTGACGGGTGTTGTGTTTCTTGTGTTTAGAGATCATAGACTCATACACATTTAGAGTTGGGAGGGACCTCAGAAAGTTATCCAGCCCAACCCCCTCCTGCACACAGGACCATCCCCAACTAGCTCATCACAGCCAAGGCTCTGCCCAGCCAGGTCTTAAAAACCTCCAAGAATGGAGATCCCACAACGTCTGTGGGTATCCTGTTCCTGTACTTTGCTAGCCTCCTCGTGAGCAAGCACCTTATAATACCAAGCCTAAACTTCCCTTTCTGTAACATGAGACAATTTCTCCTTGTTCTGTCATCTGGCAACACAATCTAGCTACACCCTGTTTTGAACAACCCTACAGGTTGTTCAAGGCTGTTATTGCTCAGTCTTCTCTTCTCCAGACTAAGTCAGTCCAGTTTCCTCAGTCTCTCCTCAGAAATCATGTGCCCTTGCTCCCTAACTGTTTTTGTCACACTCTGCTGGATTCTCGCCAATTTGTGCACATCCATTGTGTAGTGGGTGGCCCAAAACCTCACACAGTACTCCAAGTGTGGCCTCACCAGTGCCAATTAGAAGGGGAATATCACATCCCTCAGTCTGATGGCAATGCTTCTATTAACGCAGCCCAGTATGCAGCTAGCTTTCTTTGCAACAAGAGCACACTGATGGCCCCTATTCAGCTGATTGTCTTCTGTAACCCCCAGGGCCTTTTCTGCAGAGCTGCTGCTTAGCCATTAGGTCCCCAGCCTTTACCAGTGCATGGGATTGTTTCATCCTAAGGGCAGGAATTTGCACTCTTCCTTATTGAACCTGATGAGATTTCTTTTCATCCAATCCTCCAATTTTTCAAAGTCTCTCTAAGTCCCTGCTAAACCTGCCAGCATATCTACTACTCCCCAGAGCTTGCTGTCATGTGCAGAATCTCTTCAAGTGCACTTCATCCCATCTTCCAGGTCATTGATAAAGATATTGAACAAGATTGGCCCCAGGACCGACCCTTGGGCTTTTCCACACGATACCAGCTGCCAACCTTACATTGAGCCTGATGATCCAGCCAGTTTCCTATCCACTTAACAGTCCATTCATCCAACCCATGCTTCCTTAGCCTGTTTGCAAGAATGTTCTGGGAAACAGTATCAAAAGCCTTGCTAAAGTCAAGGTATACCACATCCAGTACTGTCCCCCTGTTCATAGAGCCAATCATCTTCCCAGAGAAGGGACTAAGGTTGGTCAGGCATGACTTGCCCTTGGTGAATCTACACTGATTGTTCCTAATCACCTTCTTCTCCTCCAAGTGCTCCGAAATGCATTCCTTGAGGACCTGCTCCATGATTTTACCAGGGACTGAGGTGAGGTTGTCTACTCTATAGTTCCCCAGATCCTCTTTCTTTCCTTTCTTAAAGATACACACTACATTTGCACCTTTTTTCAATCGTGCAGGACCTCTCCCAGTCACCATGAGTTTTCAAAGATCATGGCCAGTGGCTCTGCAATTACATTGGCCAACTCCCTCAGCACTCTCAAGTGCATCTCGTCTGCACTGTTCCCTAAAACTCATCAAGTGGCCCTCCAGCTGAAGTAATTGCCCACCACTGCTTTATCTGTTCTTTCACCACTGTTGGCTGCTGACCTCCTTCCCAAACTGTGATGCTAATTGCAGTAGTCTGGGAGCTGATCTTGCCTGTGAAGACTGAGTTTAAAAAGGGAACCGAGTACTAGGGCCTTTTCTGAATCATGCGCCACTAGGTTCCCTCCTCCATTCAGTAAGGGCATCGCATTTTCCTTGATCTTTCTCTTATACCTGACATAATTTATTCCATGATAAAAATAATGGACATTGGCCACAATAAAACTATGCAAATTGATAACACCAGTCTCAGCCACACTTTCTGGGCATAGGTGGTTCAACAAAGGGTATGGACATCTATCTGCTTGGCCTTTTTGCTTCCATAAACTTATATTTTGGTGGCATAAAGGCAATTTTGTTTTCATCCTGAGAGAATGAGCTTCTCCCCCTGGAGTGAGGGTCCACCAAGAATGTTACCTGGGGTGGGAGCTGCAGGGGGTGCTGAGCAGGAGCCATTCCTGTCCAGTGGCTCCTGGTATGGCTGCGCCCATGACAAACTGCCTGTGTTCCAGCACTGACCCTGATGCCTTGCGTGGTGCAATTAGAGACTACAGAGTCCAAGATTGTAAGGCTGGAAGGGATCTCGGAAGATCATCGGGTCCAGCCCCTGCACAAGGCAGGAAAGACACCTGGTGTCAGGTGACCCCAGGAAGGTGACCGTCCAGTCTCCTCATGAAGATTTCCAGGGTGGACAATTGCACCACTTCTAGAGGGAGCTTATTTCACTTTTTCAGGCTGAAGAGTCCCAGATCCCTCAGCCTTTCCTCATATGGCTTGCTGTGCAAGACTCTGACCATACGGGTGGCTTTTCTCTGGACTCTCTCAAGCTTGTCCATGTCCTCCCCCTATGCCCACCTCTTTCTCACAGAATAGTCTCTGCGTATTGCATCTTCTTTTCTTTCCAGAAATACCTCGGCGCCCATCTCTGACAGGTGGGAGAGACATGGTGCCCATTGTCATCTGCATTGTCCTGGGGGCCCTTCTCTGTCTCGTCCTGATCATTCTGGGGGGAAAGGTGAGAAGCACAAGGGCACTGCGCAGAGGTGAGACTCATTGGTCTGAGAGAGAAAATATATATATAAATAATTAGTGAGGGGAAGGATGTAGGCAGAGCTCTGATGCAACCTAGGCCTTGCGGGTAATGGGAGGTATAGCTGAGGAGGGGAGGATGCTGAAAGTCTGCCACAGGGAGATCCAGCTTGTCTGTGAAATAAAGCCGTCCATCAGTGAACTTGCAGTAGAATTGAACAGGGCTACAAATAAATATAGATACAAAGCTGAACTGAGAACCTCACAAGGGTGGTCAGGACAAAGCAAGATAGAAAAGGAGATGAAAGAGTTTGGAAATATGAACATAGTTTTGGTCCAGCTGTTCTCTATGAGGGGAGGAAATATGAGGAAAACAGTTTGCAATGAAAGAGAAAGAAGCAAAGAAAAAGCAAGGTAGGAAAAAGGATATGTGGAGAAGGAAAAAAAATCCTTATACTTGGCCAAGTGCTGGGTGGCAGTTGCTACCTTACTTCAATCAGGAGGTTATAACTTGCTATGAAAACCAGACTCAGTGTAAGTATTGTGCCTGCATGTGCATGTGTCAATATATTTACAGGTTTCCAATAGATGAAACTGGGGAAGTGTCAGGAGTACTAAGATGGAAGTAGTAGAAAGGGAAGGCGTAGGCTGCGTATATAAAAATGTTTTGTGACAGAGGAGCGGTCCTGGAACAGTATCCAGAGGGAAGTTGTTGAATAGGCTTGGGCAGTGTCGCGCTGGATATTTTTCTGTAGACTAGACAAGAAAGCAGAACTGTGCTGTAGGGCTCAGTTGAGCTCCAAAGGGAAGGGCTGGAGAACCTCTTAATATTTCCTGTTGCCATGATCCTATGTGAAACCTGCCTTTTGTTTTCAGGCTCCGGAAGACACTCAGGACCATTGCCTGATGCTGTGTATGAGGAGATTGATTATAACTTGATGAGGGAGAAGCTGGAGATGTTTGGTCGCTCAGGTCTGTGTGCCCCATTGCCAACATGCAGCAGGTGTCTAAAGGTGTTTGTACATGTTTGTGGCTTTGCCAAGTTCAGTATATTCTTTGTGGGGGGGTTTGTATCCCACAGCGTATCACACTTATTCCCATAACTATTTTGCACAAGTTTAACACTTGCTATTTGTAAATGTGCTTTTGCGAGTAAAAGATGTTAGAGGGCACCTCCATAACAATTATACCCTCACTTTGCAGCCGTCTGAGCCCTGGAAGGCTGCAGGTACTGGGCCTGGGGTGAGAACAAGATGTTACAGGAGCTCTGCAAATGAGTTTCCTCCCCAGCAGACACTCCACGTGTCCCAACTCTAGGCAGCATTTGTCTCCCTCTGCCCATGCTGCAGTCTAGGAACAGAGCCCTGCATGGATACTGTAAGAGGTCATCTGTAGGAGCATACGGGGCAGGGGCAGTCTGAATAGTTTTCCCACTGCCGTCACTTCTCTGTTGTGTGGGCTCCCTCCTCCCCAGGTGTCTAGCCACCAGTCAGTTCAACAGGGTTCATGTGGATAACACACTGTCTCTCACCCTCCAGTCTCCTACTCGGAGGACTCCGTGATGAAGCTGCAGTATTACACTGGGGACAGCGAGGAGGGAAATGACCCTGGATCAGCACAAGGTAATGGGGGAAGGCAGAGCCCAGAGATTGAGGCCCAGATCCAAGGGGAAAATTCAGTTTCCTGGGTATTTTCTGTGTACGTTCCTCCTCTTTTAGCACTCATGTGAGACAGTGGAATGGGTCAGATTTAACAAGATGTTCAGAGAGCATCCTGATGGGAATATGGGGTCAGATCCAGACACTTCGTGCATGCGAGTTTTGGGCAGGGAATGGTGAAAGTATTAAGATGCTGAGCAATGAAAAGTCTATCACTGAGCAAACGTAGATCAGTGGCCAAGCTCTTACTTCCCTGCCTCCCTGCCATGAACACAGAACCCAGGTTGCATACTAATCTGAACGAGGACTTGAACCCAGAACCGGTAGAGTGTAGTTTCACTCTGACAAGGCTGGATCAGGTGCTAACGCTACAGTCTTTCAAGGTAGCCAGTGCTAGTCAGCACCAGCACAGATCCTGACCCTAGTCACATACATTATCACAGGAATAGGGGATGTACTTGGGCACACTTGTATGCTCAAGTATTCATGAAGAACTGAAGTAGGACCAAATCCTGTTTTACCAAAACTCATTACTCTTCCCTTTCCACCTGAATCACTCTGCGAGATTGCTTGTAATGCCAGAGAAAACAGCCCTAGGTCCGAGACAGCAGGCTTGTGCTGGGGAACTAGACGCCTGGAGAAATGGACACTGGGGAAGGAAAGCTGAGTGTGGTATTTCTTTTGTGCAGAGGAAGCTTCCCCTGGGGATTTCCAGCTGGATTACGATAGTGTGGAGGAGCCTGCATTGAGTAATGCCCATGTACCTCCTGACAGTCAAGGTGAGAAGCTAATCCACCCCCAGAGGGGAGGAGCACCTATGCACATGCCCAACACCTGTTCCAATGCCCGCTAATTAGCACCACTTAATCTAATCTGCTGCAGCATGCTAATTAGGTTTGTTTATTTTAGTATTGAGTCTGTAATGCTATGCAACCAAGTGTACCAGTATCTAAGAGAGCAACTTGGTACTATCCCACCAATGTGCCCTGGCCCCAAAGGGCCTGATCATACCCCAGTCTCACCCTGCTGACCCCCATCCACAAATCTGCTCCTGTCTGGGAATGGGTCAATGAGAGAGCTTTAAGCTCATCCCTCCACATCTGCTGTCCAACCCGTGGTTTCAGCAGGCCTTGGGGAAGGTTCTCGAGCAGCCTCAGTGCTGAGAATTCAGGTCTCCTGAGAACTTGGTTGGGTCAGCAGAGATTAGTGATGTGCTGAGGCCCTGGCAGGGCCCTGACAATCTCCTTTCACACTATAGACAAGCCCTAAATGATGGGAAATGACTACCAGTGGTGGTCTAGCTGTGGAAGGTTCCTGAGCTGAATGGGGCAGACCAAGAAGCAGAGAAGCATGGGCTGCTGTAGACCACAACAGGGACACAACTGCCAAGTGCTGGGACCGTTCAGAAAATGTCCTGTGGAGGGATTTCTGGTGCAAAAGTGAAGTGGCTGCAGCGCGGACATTTTTTCAGAGGAAAACAGCTTTCCCAAAGGGAAATAAAAACACTGCAGGGCAGGCGGTGCCTGAGTGTACACTGGCACAAGGATTTGACTGGGTCAATGACACTAGGAGTAAGGCAACCAGCAGGTCCCACTACCCTGGGCATTGAGTTGCATGAGGAGCCAGGGGTCTCAACAGCATCTGGGGTCGCTTACAGACGAGACCATTCATGGGGAATGCAACACAATGAGCTCCTTAGATGTGATGGAAAGCTGAGGAAGCAGATGATAAATGGAGCAAACTAATGAGCCGTGTGTATGTTGCTCACTCTCCTGGGCTCACCTTAATGGCAGTTTGGCAGCTATGAAACCAGCCTTTTTTTGGTATTTTTGACCTAGGATGTTATTACCCACTATAACTTGTGTCGTTTGGATGCATAAGCATATGAGAAGGTATCGGAAATGTTCAGTGGGCTAAACAGTAATCGGGTGCATGGCTATAGACATGCAACCAGTGTATACGTATGGTCACAAAATGGTAGCCATACTGAAGCCCAGAAGTAGTGGAGTTGGAATTTAGGGAGAAGGAGAGCTCTTCAGTATCTTAATCCTAGGGACTAAATACTTTAGACCCTCAATCTGGAGAAGGGAAACCTGAGTTCAGTCCTTTGAATTTGCGTCATTTTGATTTTAAGAAGCAAGGCTCTAACCCCTGACCCGCAGCTTGGGAATCGTCCAACAATCTCTGTGGCCCTCCTTTTGAAGCTTGCCCCCTGGACAGTCAAGAGGGGCAAGCTTGTGGGGCCAGGGGGGATGGGTGAAGATAATAGAAGAAGGGTTGTGTGAGATGCATCCCACTTTGAAAGAGCCAGCCCTCAAGTCTAGCTTGTAACTTAGCTCCCATTGGGGCAGAAATTACGCCACTGCATTTTATCTGATGACTGTTATATGCAAGTTGAAGGGATTCAGTTTCAAAAGGAGTGCTGGGGAAAGGACTGGGTAGTGCTTAGCCTCTGGGGTGGTGGTCAGCAACTGTCCTTGGAAACTGAGGGGGGGGAAATCAGTTCTAACCATCTTCTGTGGGCCAAGTACTAGGAAGCTATGTCTTCTGGGAGCTCAACCTCGCAGCTCATCTGTAGGGGCTAGAACGTCTGAGGGCCACATCTATCCTCCTGCTCTTTTCCAGGACTTAGGCCAAAATACAAGAATACGATGCTAGGTATGGTATGGACAGTGTGTAGTCTGCAGACTACATGCAGCATGCATGCATCTGCTCATGTCTCCTCTCTGAAGGGCTAATAGTGTGATAAAGGGTGACATTCTGTTCTTTCTTGGTCATCTAAGTGGCTCATTCCTCGGTCACCTACAGGGCATTTTTGGCACTTATGGACCCAAGGGAATTGTACTCTGAAAAAGGAGGGTGACTGTGGCTGCTTTAAGACAAAAAACCCAAAACAAAACATGGCGCTGTACTTTAAATCCCATGCGCCCCCACTCTGAGCCCAGCGCATGCCCAAAATAGGTATTGACTTAAGCTGGCCCTGGCTCACCCAGTGTCTGTATAGATCAGGTGCTTCAGTTGGGCTTTTTTGATAGTTTTATCTAATAGCTGATTGAATCAATTTTAGATAAAACCACAAAAAGATCTGTGGAAGCACCTGATCTATGCAGTTGCTGCACATCTGAGTTAAACTAATGTGCTGCTTTTCTAGTAAAGACAAGGTTCCTTGGGTGAATTTGACATCTTTTATTAGACCTACTTTTCTAGTAAAGCACTTTTTATTTTATTTTATTCTATGTTTTTCTTTGACAGCATGTCTGTCAGTGCCCATAGTAACTATGCAGTTGAAGAGACTGGAACCAAAATTTGTTTCAAAAAGGCCTCTTTTCTTTCTGGACAATTTATCTGAGTTGCCAGAAGACCTGGATTCTACCCTGTCCCCCTTCTCCCTTCACCCACAGACGATTCCTTCTGGGGAGACCTCTCCCTGTGATGCCCTTCACTCCTTTTCTCCAACTAATGTTAGTAACTCAGTGCATCTTTACACATGCTCTGGGGCTGGGGGGGAATTTATTTAGAGAGGCTATTGGAGATGCTCTAATTAAAGTGGCTACAGTGCTTTGTCTTGCGTATTCAGCATCCTTCACTTCAGAATGATGGTGTTGCTGCTTAACTAAAGCTCGTTTGATGAGCTTTAATTAAAGCACCCTGCCACCATTTTGAAGCAAGGGGCACTGAGTCCATGAGACACAGGGGCTGCTGGAACACATACAGCAGACTCCGTTATTTACAGCATGTAGGAGGAGCGTCCCTGCACATCTACAGGCGCTCGCTGCTTTTAAAGAAGCACCGTAGAAGATAAAGGCTTAGACTGAGCAGGTTTAGTTCCTTCCCCACAGGGGAATAAGGCCTAGAACACAAGACCTCTGGCTTCCCTAGTGAGTGTCCTCGCCACTGAGCTATGGTGGGGAAAGGGGGGACACATACAGCCTTTTTCTGTGCCTGACACAAAGTCTGGTTGTCCTGGGTTTTGAATGACTCCATTTCAATCCTTAGACTGTTTTACAAGTCCATAATCAGTGCAAGTAAGAACTATGGCTCTTGGTTCACGTGCCAAGTCCCCATGACTACCTATGTTTCCATGTGGGCAAGTCCATGTGCCCACCACTACAATCCCCCTAGGTACATAGGTGACAGAATGTCCCAGAGGCAGCAAAAATGGACACTTTCGGCACCTCTACACAAGTGCAGAGACTGCAGATATGATTCATCTAGTCTGCTCGAGCATGACAATTACCGTGCTCCAGCAGCCTCCTGGGTCTCCTGCATCAGTGACTCCATGCTCAAAAATGGTGGCGGCAACACTTGAACTCAAGCTTGTTGAATGCGTTTTAGTTCAAGCACCCCACTGCCATTTCTAAGTGCAGGGATGCGGATGTAAGAGATGTAGCAGTGCTTCATATACAGCCGTACTTGGAGCCAATCTAATTAAAGTGCCTCCCCGCTCCACTCTGTGGCACTTGTAAAAGTGCCCCTAGATTACCAGGAAATAAGAGAGCATCACCCAAAGTGCATACAAGCACTGAAACAAACACTTATATGGCAGGGTGAGCTGGAGTTAATGCACAAATAATAATAAACTTATGCTCAATGTACACTCAGAATTTCATCCTCAGGCTTGACCTCCTCATTTTGATCTTCCACAACTTCCTCGCACCCACCAGCTGAACTGCAGCATTTGCCTCCTTCCTACAGCGTAAAAGCACATCTAAACTTTGAAACATGCTTCTGACTTTGACCTATGCAACAATCCTGTGACACTGAGTTTGTGGTGGATGCTGTGGTCTCTCATTGCCTCATGGCTGTGGGCAGCGGAAGCCCCTCAGCCTTTTTTCCCTTTCAGGTCACGTATTTCTGTCTTCAGTGGAGGAGCTCTCATGTCCAGTGATTCCTTCCTCTGTTGCAGAGGCCCTTCCCCTGGCTAGAGAAGTCACTGAAGATGGTTATGATGAAGCTGGAGAAGTTCCTGACCTTGCACATTTTCCTGTTTCTGGACTCACTGGTGTCCCAGCAGAAAGAGAGAACTTGCAGACTTACAGTGACTCACAGACAGGTGAGAGAGAAGGGCAGTATGTCCAGTGTTCACAACATTATCACTTGTCTCACAACATGAGGTCTTTCAAAATTCTTAGCTCCTGGAGGAAAATGATCACAAGAAAAATGCTGTTCCCCTTTAAAGATCAGCCAGCTTTCTAGGCCATATTACTGCAGAAGAATCCTAGAGGACATGAAACAAGGTTAACTTTAGGGCTCAAATACAGAAACCAAAGGGTGGAAAAGCTTACGGTAAAAGTCTAAAGTAGCCACCCTGAGAGAGGCTGACATGGGGCATGTAAGTACCTATCATAAGAGCTCCTTGAACTTTTCTTCCAAGTGCTAAGCTACTGCCTTACAACCTGTAGGGAATTGTCTTGGGATGGATTATATGGTTCTGTGAACTAAATGAGAATAAACTGTGAATCTGCTTTGCGTGAGACGTGCAATATCCTCCACTCTACCGTCCTTGCTCTTGAGATATATTATGGTGAAGGAAGCCATCCTCTCTTCGGTTTCCTTCTGGCATGATGACTCTGTAGGGCTACAGACATTGTCATAAGACAATGTGACCCCCTCATTGAGAAGAAGGAATTCAATCCCTTATTTCCTGACACCTCTCTTGAACTCAGCAGATCACAGCAGAGGAGCCGATCTCCTCCCACAACTTCCTTTGTAGAATATCCTTGACAATGTGGGAGTGAGTTGCAGTCTTTTTATCAGCATCATAGGGTCCTCAGAGCATCTTGCCCATGTGTGTAGAATCACAGACAGCTGTTAAAGACTGTCTAAACCACAAGGAATGGAACTGACAAAGAATAGGTGCCTGGAGTGAAAAGATGCCAAGGATTCATGTTGAGAAACACTATGCCATCAGCTGAGAAGAACCTACTTCCCTGGGTACCTCCAGGCTAGAATGGCTTACTGCTCCCAAGGTAAAACCTTGGAATAAGAGAATTATAAATATAAAATCCAAATTATCCCCTTTGGCAGCTCCATTTAATGCCTTGTTCTGATTAATAACTGGGTGCCTGGAATTCAGATAAACCGAGATCAGTGCCTAGGCTTCCTACACAGTCCGTGAAGGGAATTAGGAGCCTCCAAAGGGTGTCTCACCAAAGTCAGTGCTCAAGTCAACAGGATTTGATGAGATCAAGGCTGTTCTTCACTTACAGCCATCCTAAGAGCTATCCTTGCCAAGTTGTGCTTCTGAACCCCAGTTCCTGTTTAGAGGAAGGCAAGGACCTAATGCCAGTGCCACCCAACTGTTTCATAGCTGTCTGGTATTTACAGCACTCCCAGCTTAACTCTAAGAGTTGTGTTCCAGGCCCTCTTCCTCCTGATGGACTCAAGTCCTGATCCTCCATTGCCCAGAGGAGTCTCCTGCATTGCCTAAAAGATGTCAGGAATTCTCTGATCCTCGTCCTGAATCTGTGCTGCAAAAAATGTAAGCGTAGGCCTTGCAAGCATAGAGAGTAAAAATGGAAACTTGTCTGGGCTCAGTTAGAAGAAGAGATGGGAGACCAGTGGCAGCGCAGGCTATAGGCTGCACACAGGATATGTGAATGTGTGCGGGCTCATATTAAACATATTCTCTGTAATTTGTTTCTGTTCATATTTTTTTCAGAACGGAGCATGCCCTGGCTTAAAAGTGAAGGAATCTTTGAGCCTGTGCAAGAGGACCCAGCCCTTCTTCCTGGAGACACGGGTTATGACGACGTTGAAGAGGTCATGTCTGTGTCATCACTCTAAGAATGGATTTGTGTTGAGATAATATCCCGTGGGAGTGTAAATGTTGGATGATCAGCACCCTTCTGTCTAAGATGCACACTGGTCCATAGTAGCCAAAGGGACAACCCAACCTGGAAGTATTGAAGTATTGTGCCTCACTCTTTGAACTGGGCTTTTTGTACTGGCCAAGATATCTAAATGTGACCAAGGAAGGAGCTGTAACTTGCCTTTTCATTTTGCACTTCTCAGGCTCTCCAGGCATTTTCTGGGTTTTATTCTTTATCATCAATTTAATCTTTTTTTAAAATAAAACATTTTTGTTAGTAAGTTCAGAGTTGCCGCTTTTCTCATGTAGTCCATCAGCTATCTCCCTTGGAGATGTCACTTCCCTGGGCCTCCTCCCTCCCTGGTTATTGTCAATTATTGTCAGAACAATTTGACATCAAAGGCGTCACTCAGGAGCAGAATGACCCTTTCTTCCCATCTCAAGTAACCACCACAGTGACAGCGGAGATGCACTCAGCTGCTGTACTGGTGGACTTGGACTGTGAGCAGACACTCGTGTACATGAAACACAGCGCCTGCTGAGGCCACTAATCTATCTGACAGCATTGTGGATGACCTCTGTGCCATCCAGCTCACAATGGGAGGTCAACCACACCTGATTACTGGATCTGGTCATGCCAGGGAGAGCCTGATCAGGGCTATGAACAAGTTTTAAATATTTCTTGCAAAGCTGACAAGGGAAGAACAGTGCTAGAGGATGACCAGGATGATTTTCCGTACACTGAATATGACCAGACAAGGCTGCTCAATGGAGACTTCAATACTGAGCTCCAGCTCCAGCCAAGGGAAGAGTAGCTTCTTTCTGGAGTCTGAGAGCTTTAAGATTGATGGATCCATATTTCAGGTACCGGCATCCAGAACACAAGGGGGTGATGGGGTAATAAGAGGCTGTGGCAACCCTATATCCAATTGCTGCACTAGTCCTATAAAGCAGTTTTTTTTCAGCTGGGGGTATATGTACCTCCAGGGGTACTTGGGTAGGCCCTAGGAAGTATGCAAGGGCAGGCAGGGATGGAGCGCCACCACCTTCCAGGAGCAGGGCCCGGGCCAGGCAAGTGGGGGTGGTGGATGATGGTGCTCTGTCCCCACCCACATGTCCCCACCCACCCACCCCATCCTTGCCACCCCCAGGGCAGCAAGCTGCACTTCCAGCTGAACGCCACCGCCCCCACCCCCCGCTCTGAGTCTGGCCATTCACCCCACACCCCGCCCTGCTCTATGTCCAGCCACACGCCACCCCCATCACTGCTCTGTGTCCAGACACAGGGGTACATGTATTAAAACTGGCTGAAAACCCCTACTATAAAGGAATCATAGCCAAGGTACCAGTTACGAACCACATCAAACTCCTGGGTGGAAGTTGTGCAGATTTCCCCTTAAAAAGGCACTTGGGGGGCAATTTGCTGACCGGTCCTTCCCTCCCCTCCCCTCCTCTTTCCTCCCTCACCCTCCTCTTCTGGCCCCACTCCTGGTGGGGACAGGGTAAGTCACAACATATCTATTTCCTGCCTTCTGTGCCCACCACTCCAGGCTTTCCTGCACACAAGGTTGGCCAGGGATCCTAGACCCAAGTTTCCCTCAAGCAGACAGGGTGGAGAGGATCGTGGGGAGTTAAACACAGCCCCTGAAACCAGGAGAGAGGCAAAAATTACAGGTAAAGGGGCCTCCTCTGGGACTCTGAGAGAAGATGTGCTTTTGGGGTGGGGGATTGAAATAAAGTGGGGATTTCTGTGGCTGATGATAACAGAGCAAAGAAGGGGAAATTCTGGGTGCATGTGTCAGGGGGAGGGGAAATGTAGGGGTTAAGAGACAGCTGCAGCTCAGCGAAGAATGGTATCAGGACACTGTGAATGGCTGTGATACAAGGGACTTGGGTAAGTGTGACAGTGGAGGGAGGACTCCAGGGTTGAGCATTCCCAGCTAGGAGAATGGGAGAGGGAAATTCAAGACACTGAGTGTTCAATAGCAGTAGGCACACAAAAGAGCTTTGCGGGGTCCCAGCTAAGACTTCTGTTTGCAGTAATTAAACTACCTAATACTAAATATAGCCCCTGTATCACCCTATTTAGTCCCCAAAACCTAGTAAATTCAGGTAAGTTTTACCCATCATACTCATCTAGCAAACCTGCTACCCTGTCAAAGAAGATAGTCAATTTGTTTGATATGATTTGTTCTTCATAAAATGGCGTTAGCCACTAGGGGCACTAGAGGCTAAATAATGTTATTTATTGCTTCAAGATTTCTAGTGGAGGCATTTGTGTGCATGTGTTTAAGAGGGATCTAGAGAAAGATATCTGAAGCAAACTAGAAATGACTCATTTCCTCCATTGCATGTCTTAGTTCATCTCATTTTCATCATTTGACAGCAGATCCACATTTCCCCTGATCTTTATTGCCCATCTGAAGTATTGATAGAGCCATTGCCTATTAGCATATTTTCCCCCCTTGCTTACCTGACTTTCCCTGCTACCTATCGGTGCCCTGACTTTATTCACTTCCTCACACACCCTTACTTAATTCTTCTGTATGTCGACCTTGGATTTTGGCTCCAGCAATTCCTGACCCGAGCAGCTACACGCCAACTCTTCTAAAGCCCTTCAGTCTTGAGCTGCAGCCCCATTTGATAGGTCATTTCCACCAATGGGGGTAAAGTATATCAATACCCTTGTGGGAATAACCTGTGGCTGGCTCAGTTATCTCTCCTATCACAATGCCTCTATGTACACAGTATTTATCAAAACTGCAGGAAGTGGAGGGTAGGGGTCAAAAAGTAGCGTCAAGCTATTTTGATCTTCTCTTTTCCTGATTCTCATCAGAATCACCATGGATCATCTTAGTGATGCCTGGATGGCTCCCCAGTATATTGGAGTAGATTGGACATGGTCGTCCAGGTTTATCATGTCACAGAGAGGCAGAGAAATGCCATCCAGCTAAGCATTCATTGTTTCTCCACTTGGCCAGCAAGGAGCTGCTTCTCCTCCCTGGCTATCTCTGCTCCTCCTTTCCAGCATGACCCTACACAGGAGGGCTGTGTGAAATTTCACTGGGTGTTTCATTTTGAAGCTGTTTCGACATGTTTTGAGCTCAAAACTGCAGAATTGAAATGAAACAAAAGGCTTCAAAACAGATTCAAAACAAAACGAGAGCACTTGAAATGTTTCAAAAGTTTTGAAATGTTCTGAGTTTTGAAGCCAGGTTTGCTTGGCTTCAACACTGGTCCCAGCCGGCAGTGGCAGCCTGCTGTCAACCCACACACAGATCGGGGGACTTGTGCCCCCACAGGAGGAGTATGGCACAGCCCCACAGCCCTCCTGGGGGTGCGGGCGCACAGATCTGCACACGGGATGACAGGAGGTTGCCACTGCTGGCAAGCAATACCAGTGGTCCTTTCAACTGTTTGTGGTGCAATTTCCCAAAAACCTCTGCAGCTATCTCCATGAAGCTTGTCAGGCTTCATGGCCTCAGTAAGGGCTACCACCCATGCAATTTTCATCCAAATCAGGCAAGAAATTACAATGTTTTAGACATTTTCATGATTCCCCATTATAGCCTATGGGCAAAACGTAGAAGCACGTCAAAACGTGAAACAGTTTCGACGAAACAAAATGGAATAGTGCTATGAAAATAAATAACAAAATGAAGCACTGTCCCTTTGAAACGTTGAAATGGAAGTGGAAATGAAACGGTGCTGTTTTGCACACCTCTACTGCTTAATGAATTTTGGTCAGCTGTTGAGGGCTGCAAGGGTAGCCCCACCTCTTGACAGGTGCCCCAACTCTGGTCACCATCTTGGGACCAGAAGTCCCACCACTAACCCCTGACCTTTGACACTAGAAGTCCCTCCCCTTTCCCCAAGAAGTACTCCTTTTGGGACGGTGGGGTTTTCCATCTTGCAAATGGGAAACCCTGCCCCTCCCCCACCACAAATATTATACTAAAAAACAAGCAGCTACTATAACATATTCAATGTCCCAAGTTCTGGGAGCTTCACATGGTGTCAAGGAGTGGGGCCAGTCTGGCCTGGCTCCATCATATTGTGCACCATGTAGCTCATGTGCATCTCCCAGGGCTTGGCCAGAGCTGTATGCCACTGCAGAGGGTGCCCTGCACAATGGAGCTGGAGGCCCTGCCCCCCTCCCTGCCATCATGTGCAGCTCCTAGGACTGAGCTGGGGCAGAAGAGAGTGGGGCCAAGCCATCCTGGCTCCATTGTGTGGGGCACGCCACTGCTCCTGACTGAGTCCCAGGAGCTGCTATCGCAGCAAGGAAGAGGGCCAGGCTCCCGGCTCTATCATGCAGGGTCTCATCTGAGTCCCAGGAGCTGCATGTGAGCTATGGGGAGCACCACACAATGGAGCCGGGCTGGCCTGGGCCCTACACTCCTGTCAACAGTGGCCCCATTTTCTTTAGCTGTAGCCCTAGTGGGAAAGGTAGTAGCAAGTGTGTCTGTCCCAGGTGAGAAGTGTCCGGACTGGGCTTGAGCTTGTAGGACTGGGTCCATATAATGGCACTGAACTGTGACATTAGGTATGTCAGCTTTCAATCAACTATTCCTCATTTCCATGCAGTGACTCTGTTGGTTGCAATGACTCCACCTCTGGTGTAAGCCATGGTTCTTTGTGTCCAAAGAGGTTCTCTCCCAGATTGCCCACAGAGGAGGCTAGGCAGGGGTCTCGGCAATGCCATGTTCATGTTTTGGGTCAGGATTGGCTTTGGCGGGGCCGAGACCCAAATTCACTTATCTCACCCTGGAATAAGATGTCCACATACCATGTTCAGGATTTCAGCTGGTTTGGAACCAGGCATGTGCAGGCAGGTTCATGCTAATCCAGGACTCTTCCTTCAGTTTTCTCCAATGACCGGGCTACTGAGACACCCTATAAAATATGGGAATGTCCTGGCCAATCCAAGACATATGGTCACCCTACATAAATAGCTGTATCTGTTTCCACATACTATGAGCATATGTCCAATTGTGAACTTACATTGCACTAAGCTGCATCTTCTACCTTTGACCAGTGGTCTGTCTCAAGTAGTTTCTCCTCATAGAAAATGTCTGAAAGCAGATTCTCTGCTTTCAATAAGGACTTCTGCCAGCTGGGGGACTAAATCATCCAGTGCCTATGTATGCTAAGAC